ATCCAGTTCACCTATACCTCTTTGGACAGTGGGACAAACCAGAGCACCCAGAGAAAGCCTACACAGACACGAAGAAAACATGCAAACTCAGCCAGCAACAGTACTAACCACTAAGCCACTGTGCTGTCATAAATCCATATGACAAATATATAAAACTAGATTTCCTTATTTAGGCCCGTATTGAGGAGCTGGAAGAGGAAATCGAGGCTGAACGAGCTGCTCGTGCTAAAGTGGAGAAGCAGAGAGCCGATCTCTCCAGGGAACTTGAAGAGATCAGTGAGAGGCTTGAGGAAGCTGGAGGTGCCACTGCTGCCCAGATTGAGATGAACAAGAAGCGTGAAGCAGAATTCCAGAAGCTGCGTCGTGATCTGGAAGAGTCCACCTTGCAGCATGAAGCTACGGCTGCAGCTCTCCGAAAGAAGCAGGCAGACAGTGTGGCTGAGCTCGGAGAACAGATCGACAACCTCCAGCGGGTCAAGCAGAAGCTGGAGAAGGAAAAGAGTGAATACAAGATGGAGATTGATGACTTGTCAAGCAACATGGAGGCTGTGGCTAAAGCAAAGGTATACTCTTGGCAAAAAGATTAAATTAAAGCTATTTAATTATTTACAGTTAGTTTACATTTTTATTTTTATCCTTACTACCCTAAAATATTAAAGGTGCAAAATGCAACACCGATTTGTAAAGAGTCAACACATGTAGACTGCTAAATATACGTGTTTGCACATTTATGCATTGTGTCATCACTCAGCACTTACTGGTTGATGGGCTGAAGTCTTTTGAATGTACTTTGAACATTTCTTCATTCATAGACAAACCTTGAGAAGATATGTCGTACATTAGAAGACCAAGCAAGTGAGCTAAAAACCAAGAATGATGAGCTTGTACGCCAGCTTAATGATATAAGTGCACAGAAAGCAAGGCTGCAAACTGAAAATGGTATGTAAATTAAGTGAATATATCATGTACACAATGGTAAATGATAACGTATAACTCAACAATGTAAAAAGGAATAATGTTATCACACAAGTCCTTTGTGACACAAAGTTATACATTCTAATGCTAGGGGAATTTGGACGTCAGATGGAGGAGAAAGAAGCTCTTGTTTCTCAACTGACAAGAGGCAAACAAGCTTACACTCAGCAAATTGAGGAACTCAAAAGACATATTGAAGAAGAAGTTAAGGTTTGTAACTACAAAGCAACTTGTAAACAAATTTTAACATGGCTGTGCATAATAAAAAGACATCTTTTATTTTTTGACCTCAAGGCTAAGAACGCTTTGGCCCATGCGGTTCAGTCTGCCCGCCATGACTGTGATTTGCTCAGAGAGCAGTTTGAGGAAGAGCAAGAGGCCAAAGCTGAACTCCAGCGTGGAATGTCTAAGGCCAACAGTGAGGTGGCACAATGGAGAACCAAATATGAGACTGACGCCATCCAGCGTACAGAGGAGCTTGAGGAATCCAAGTAAACAACGCAAAGAAAAGTCTTCACTGTTTCCAATTTAATATGACATATTAGGGTTCAATGTATTTTATGTTTTAAAGGAAAAAGCTGGCTCAGCGTCTGCAGGATGCTGAAGAATCCATTGAGGCAGTGAACTCCAAGTGTGCATCGCTGGAGAAAACAAAACAGAGACTGCAGGGTGAAGTAGAGGACCTCATGATTGATGTGGAGAGAGCAAATGCATTGGCTGCTAACCTTGACAAGAAGCAGAGAAACTTTGACAAGGTAAGAAAGAAGTGGAACATCTAGATTCCTAAACCCTGAACTGCAGACCATGCTAATAAACAATGCCCACATTATCAGGTCCTCGCAGAGTGGAAGCAGAAGTATGAGGAAGGCCAGGCTGAACTAGAAGGGGCTCAGAAAGAAGCTCGCTCTCTCAGCACTGAGATTTTCAAAATGAAGAACTCTTATGAAGAAGCCCTGGACCAGCTTGAGACCCTGAAGAGGGAGAACAAGAATCTGCAACGTAAACGCCACTTTTATTTACAGAAAGAATTTAATAAGCAACAGTTTTAGAAGAACTAATAAATACAGTTTTTTAAACCCATTTAGAGGAGATTTCTGACCTCACTGAGCAGCTTGGAGAGACTGGAAAGAGCATTCATGAGTTAGAGAAAGCCAAGAAGACTGTGGAGTCTGAGAAAGCAGAGATCCAGACTGCACTTGAAGAAGCAGAGGTATTGTTGCTAAACACTATCACATCAATATAAAATGAAATATCACTATTTTATCATGGTTAACGTAACTCATAATTATTACCAGGTCTTAATTGAATAAATACTAATACTACTATCCATCAGGGCACCCTGGAGCATGAAGAGTCCAAGATTCTGCGTGTGCAGCTGGAGCTGAACCAGGTGAAGAGTGAGATTGACAGGAAGCTTGCTGAGAAGGATGAAGAGATAGAACAGATCAAGCGGAACAGCCAAAGAGTGATGGATTCCATGCAGAGCACTCTGGACTCTGAGATCAGGAGCAGAAATGATGCCCTGAGAGTCAAAAAGAAGATGGAAGGAGATCTGAATGAGATGGAGATCCAGCTGAGTCATGCCAACCGACAGGCCGCTGAAGCCCAGAAACAGCTCAGGAATGTCCAAGGCCAACTCAAGGTATCTTTGCAAAGAAGAAATTTACAGTTAGTAATTTAGCAGACACTTTCATCTAAAGCAACCCACAGATGAGGATGATAGAAACACTTTAGGTAATCAGAGAGCAACACAAAAAATATAAAATGCCATGAAAAGTCTAAGTTGGATTAGCTAAAAAAAAAAGAAAAAATAGGAAAAAGAGTAAATGAATAACTAGTGCATGCTATTACTTAATAACTGATGAACAGTCTTTAGATGTTTCTTAAAGATGGCCAGAGACTCAGCTGTCCAAGTGGATTTAAGCAAGTTATTCTACCTGGATGGGAAGTTTAAGGTGAAAGTCCTTTCATTCAGTTTGTGCTCCTGTGGGATGGAACCACAAAGCGATGTTTGGTAGCAGAGCACGAAGCTCTGTTGAGCACATAAGCCTGATTGAGGATTCAGGAAAAGGGTTGCAGAACCAGTGGTTGTTTTATAGGCAAATGACAGTGCCTTGAATTTGATCCAATCAGCGAAACACAACCAGTGTACTTAAATAAAGGTGTGACATGCACTTATTTAGGTTGATTAAAAATCCCCCTAGATCAGCTAGTTTGATGTTGTTGATTGGGAGGCCAAGAGAGCATTGCTATAATCTGGCCTAGACAGAACAAGAGCCTATTCATTTAGCACAGGTACAACAAAAGGGGAGGTAGCTTGAAGAAGATGAGATGGGATGGGGTCTAGTTGACAGGTATTAGGGTGACCTGTTACAACGTGTTTTAGATTATAAAAAAAGAAATAAAAAAAGGTCACATGATAAATGCAGGAAAACAATTAAAAAAGAAAGCCAAAACAAATCAAAAGATTTACATGCAGCTGTCCTCTTTAAATGCTTCAATGCTTCTTCTGATCATGACTTGCCTACATTAATTATATACTAGTAGCTGGCTAGCGGACACCCTTTGCTATTTACATTTACATACAACAGAAATACCCCCACATGGCACAAAAACAAATGAGAACTCAACACAAGGATGTTTAAATTTACGCTTTAAATCATTATGACACAACTAACAAAGATAGAACATTATCACAGGATGCCCAACTGCACCTTGATGAAGCCGTCAGAGGACAAGAGGACATGAAGGAGCAGGTGGCCATGGTGGAGCGCAGGAATAACCTGATGCAAGCAGAGATTGAGGAGCTGAGAGCCGCACTGGAGCAAACAGAGAGAGGCCGCAAAGTGGCAGAGCAGGAGCTGGTGGATGCCAGTGAGCGTGTGGGACTGCTGCACTCACAAGTACAGAAACTCATCAAGAATGCATTTAAAAACACATGCAAGGCTACTTGAAAACAGGCAGACACTAAAACTATCTATAACTTGCAGAATACAAGTCTTATTAACACCAAGAAGAAGCTTGAGGCTGATCTGGTCCAAATTCAAGGTGAGGTGGAAGATTCAGTTCAGGAGGCCAGAAACGCAGAGGAGAAGGCCAAGAAGGCCATCACTGATGTGAGTGTTTACATTCTGTTGCTATGTTTTCATTTTAATATTTGTTTAGCAGCATGTTCAGGAATCAATATAAATCATTGCTTGATTGACCCGGTGTCAAAGCTATTAACTGTCCCAAATCTTTATTAGGCTGGTTCTAAAGCACTGCTCAATATTTCGATAAAGGAAAGCTTCATGGAAGGTTTTTCTACAAACTCTGATCATTTAAACTTTATTGGCTGATATTTCAGGCTGCCATGATGGCTGAGGAGCTGAAGAAGGAGCAGGACACCAGTGCTCACCTGGAGAGGATGAAGAAGAACCTGGAGGTGACTGTCAAAGACCTGCAGCACCGTCTGGATGAGGCAGAGAATCTGGCCATGAAGGGTGGAAAGAAACAGCTCCAGAAACTGGAGTCCAGGGTAAGGTTGTGCGGCTAAAAACAATTGGTTCTTAGATTTAAAGGTTAGACCAGTTTTGTCAATTACTCTCTACTTTCTCAAAGGTTCGTGAGTTGGAGAGTGAAGTTGAAGCTGAACAGAGACGCGGTGCAGATGCTGTTAAAGGAGTGCGTAAATATGAAAGGAGGGTGAAGGAGCTCACCTACCAGGTAAAGCAGCACAGGAATTTGAAATGTTACACTGCAGTTTGTAATATACATAGTTTAAGGCTACTAACAATATTTACACCGACAGACCGAGGAAGACAAGAAGAACGTGACTCGCCTCCAGGATCTGGTGGACAAGCTGCAGCTGAAAGTGAAGGCCTACAAGCGCCAGGCTGAAGAAGCTGTAAGGCTAATATCCAATGCCTCCTGCAGTGTGACGCTTTGATAAAATGACAGATAAAAGTGGATGGATATCTTGTGTAATCCCAACAGGAGGAGCAGGCCAACACTCACCTGTCCAGGTACAGGAAGGTGCAGCATGAGATGGAGGAGGCTCAGGAGCGCGCTGACATCGCCGAGTCCCAGGTCAACAAGCTGAGAGCCAAGAGCCGCGATGCAGGAAAGGTACCAGTCCAACCTGTGCTACCACAATACCAATGTTAATCACTGCAACAGCAACACAATACAAAGTCAATTTAGACTAGTTACTCACTCTCACAAGTCGACTGTGTTTGAAGGTGTGTTTTCTGACTGTTTTGGTAAAATCTCGTCTTCTGTTGAAGGTTTGGGAAACACATTACTAAAACTTGAAACAGGCTTAACAGAATTCATGACAAAAGAGGACATTTCTAGCTGATGTACACGAAGCTCTGAATTAGGGCTGCATTAAGACTGAAAAGAATTGACATTTTGTTCAGAAAGTGAAAATGTAGTTTATAATAATTAAAAAAAATTCACAAACAGACAAAAGAAAACCACAAACACACTGTAAAATATGCTTCACCACAATATATACACTGTGCGTTGGTCAACTGTGATCAGCTAATCACTCTTACCTGCATCCAGATTGGGTTCAGGTTTAATCCAGCCGTTGACCACTGAGTGATCACTGTCCACTCATCTTCTTGTTCTAAAGTAGTTTTCGGGTTTAAGTCAGGCTTCAGTGAATGGGTTTGTTCATACGCAGATGATGTAGGATGTGGATTGTGCTGCTGAGAAACTAGGTGTGTACAAGTGTACGAAGATGAGAGTCACAGACCTGCGTACTTGAACAGAGAGTAAATAATGATGGCATTTCAATTCAAAATCAGTGTAATGAGTATTTAAAAAATTATAAATGAACACGCGTGCATGGATCTTTCCCATTAAGGTCAATAACATCCATTTAGAAAATGGATTATGAACTTCCATCAAAGCTACTGTGCTCCTGACCTTCTGAAATGCAGCCCAGATTTAGTCATCTAGCAGACGCTTTTGTCCAAAGCAACTTACACATTTGAAGGCATTCAGCGACTCAACAGCAGACACAAGTGCTAATTATACAAAAAGGAACTGTTTGTGCTCAGAGCATTAAGATCTAGAGTAAAGAGGCAAAGTGGTGTTTTTTACGTGCTTAGGTATTCGTGGAAGAGTTGGGTTTTTAGAGTTCATTTAAAAGGCAAAGGGAAGATCATTCCACCAGTGAGGAACAGTAAATAAAAGGGTTTTGGAAAGGTTTTGCTTCTGTCTTCATCCATTTTTTAACGTGGTTCTGAATGATTAATATGGATAGCAGCCATTACTGCTGCTGCTTGCTAGGGTTTCTGATTCAGTATGCGTTAAGTGTGCATTAATCAGTACGCATCTACAGTTAATAATATGATGAAGAACGGATATCAAGGAAAAGCATTAAATGAATACAATAATAAGCTAAATACATAATGAATGTACAAAAACAATATTGGAGTCCACTCTGCAAAGTGCAATAAGGCTAATGGACATTACACAGATTAGGCTAGATTGCTAATCTGCTGTACAAAGTTGAGACGTGTTCAAATGCTGCACATATAATGCTCATAAAACCACATTCAGTCCATTTTCCTTAAAGAAAGTCAGGCTACCTTTCTATCCTGATGCTCCAGCTTCATCCATATTCTTTGAGCAAAGTGTGTGTGAAAGCGTCTGTCTATGCAGCTTTAGTCAGAAAAACATCAAGATTTAGTCCTTAAATTTCAGTCTTGCGCATGTGAAATCTTTCAGTTATGCTGTGAGAGATCAGCCTTGTGTTAAAGACAGACCCAAACTCTGCACTAGAACTGTGCATGAAACACACAGCTTCCCTCAGTGACTTTAACGTCTTCTTGTTTTTAGGGTAAAGAAGTTGCTGAATGAGAGTCAGAATCCAGACACGCCGCACGCCATCATATAATATGAAGCGCATGTGAAATGTCAGTATGCAGTTGGTGACAATAAATGCACATCTATAAACTTCCTTCTGTTGTGTTCTTGTGATTAATAAAGAGCTCCATCATACAGCACAACACACGTCTGCAAACCATGCAGTGTTGAAGATTAATAACAGCAAATCGACACTCATTCATTTTCATTTCCACTTATCCCTTGTCCCTTTATTAATCAAGGGTCGCCACAGCGGAATGAACCGCCGACTTATTCAGCATATGTTTTACAGTTTTACAGCTGCAACTCAGCACTGGGAAACATCCATACGCTCTCATTCACACAAATAGAGTATGGACAGATTAGCTTACCTAATTCCCCTATAGCGCATGTGTCTGGACTTTTGGGGAATCTAGAGCACCCGGAGGAAACCCACGTCAACACGGGGAGAACATGCAAACTCCACACAGAAACACCAACTGACCCAGCCGAGACTCAAACCAGCAACCTTCTTGCTGTGAGGCGATCGTGTTACCCACTGCAAACAAATGCATTGTCATCCCCTTTGTTCAATTAATAAAGCAGCATCAGCACAGGCCACTTGTAGTGCTAAATAAATGTAGTCAACACATTCATCACTGATGCTCTTCTAAGAGTGTGACAATAACAGATATTTTAGAGCAAAGTCATGCACACAGAACACTAGTGATGAGATTTATTACTCACCCTTCCAGAGGAAAGGCTTCGCCATCTTGAAGGATCCATGTGTCCAGCTAGGCAAGTCTTCTCCTCCATTTTCAGATCAATTAAACTAGGACTACATGTTTTCTGAACAGCACTTATTATGGAATGGTTCATTCCTCCGTCTGTGTATCTGCATTACACTCGTGGATGACAGGATACTGCACTTCACTGAAGAGATTAGTGGGACAATAATGTATGGATGTGTTTATGTGTGAGTGTGCAGCTATGTTTTCTAATGTTTGTTGCTATTGTTGATGAGCTCCCCAAGCAAGATTTCACTTAACTGTTGATTTTACTTATGGCAATAACCGTATACTTACACTTAAACTTACTTATGTTTATGATCCCAACAGGAGAGTAAGTATTTTGTCAAGTGCACTAAAAGAGCAGCACAGCGTACTCACCGTAGCAGAGTGCCCTGTACAACTGCTGTCCTGTGCTGGAAAAGGGGATTTTAGGCAATGTTTCTCTTTTGTAAACTATAGGTGTTGATTTTGTTGAATTAATTTATTCTATTGTTATTATTTAGTTTACACTATAGAGTGAAATATTGATGTCTGAAGACATCTATGCTTACATTAGTGAAGCATGTGGTGTAATTCCCGGCTGCACCACTATACATTTTGAATTCATGTATTGAATAGGATGGCCAATACAGGTTTCGAGGTGGTGCCTAACATGTGTCGCTGATGCACATGATTGTGTTGAAAGTTTTTTTTAAGTTTTGAGATTGTATGGCTTGATGATATCAGATCAGATACCTATTTTAATAGCATAAAATGTTCAGAATTAATCCGTTTTGAGAAGCACGTGGGCCTAGTGGAGAATGTGTTTGGCTTAAACTTTGGCAAAAGAGCTTTGGCAATATGAACTCAATTAGATTCAACTATATTGTCCTCACACATATACAAGTACGCAGCAACCAAATGCAGTTTAGGTGTAACCAGGAGTGCAGTAGCAGCAAGTGCAGGATACAGGATATAAGATATATAGTGTAAGTGCAATTATAGAAAAGCTATGGTGATATTTACAGATGCATGTACTATCAACAATATATCAGACCCCCTAGTTTTTTGCAAATCCAAATGCTGAATCCAATATAAAATCAACAAAAAGTCTAATTATTTCGTGATCCTGCAAAATTCTTCATTTAAATGCTAAATAATTGCAAAACATGTAAACGATCCGATTCCAAACCATTTAATCACATTATATTTATTTCAGTTTGCAATACATTGTTTTACATGACTTAATGAACGTCGCATACGCAGCGCATGATGTATTTCAGTGTGTCTCGAAAAATGTCTCACCTGCGCCCTCACAATCATTGCATTACATGGAGAGGGGGGGCAGGGGAGTTTTCAGCCAGTGCAGTGAGCAGATGCTGATGAAGCACGAGTGATTTACATGTGAAGTCAATGTGAAGATGTGATTAGACATTCTGTGGTGCTTTGTGTATTTGCCGTGCTTCAGACTGCAAAAGAAAGTGTGAACAATCATCAAACAAACAAACTAAGCGGTGGAGCACACAGATAAAGATTCGTTCAAAGATGACGCCGCTGGACGTGACAGACTTGAAGGACATTATTATCAAATCGCTAAATGATTGTGTTTAACCCTTTCCCTGCAGTTAACAAGAGAAAACACTTCACTGCCATTGCCGAGTTTCACGGTAATCTGCGTTTTAGGTGTATTACGGTAGGGGAAGCCCTAACGTATGTCCTGAGTGAGGTACCTGATGTCAATGAAGATCGTGAATAAAAATAAGAGTTAAACAACCTCCCATTGGCTTAATCCCGACTGTTTTAGATTTGTTTTAGATCTTGTCTTGACAAAAGACCAAAATAAAGAAACTTTATTTTTATGATATATTGCTTTGTGTCATTGCACACCTAAAATAGTAGACCAATATGGTAAATTATACACACACACACACACACATATTTATTTATGTTTATATATATATTTTTTAATCACAAAATTGTCCGCAAATTTCTGGAAATTACTGACACAAAATTGGTCATTTTTATCGCAAAAAATTGTGATAAACTAGAGGGTCTGTAATTTACAAGCTGCGCAACTATGATTAGAGGTTTACAATAGATTAGATACAGATGAGTTTCAGTATTAAAGGTGTGGCGGATGATGCTGTAATGATGTTGTAAGAATCCTACTCATCCTGATTATGTGTCTGAAATGCGTCTGGAGGCAGGAGTAGTGTATAGAAATGAGGCATTATCAGGTAAGCCCAGGTCTGGTCCAGAATATGACAGAAAGAGAGTTAGATTTATATATGCTGCGTGTTTGTTTATTTAACACAGCTTTTAAGTAGTCTTCAATTGTTAACTGAGATCTCACTTTTAATATGAGATCAAACTCAACAGCCAACAAATTCAGCATGACAATGTGTGTGTTTTGGAAAGAAGTGAAGGTGCTTAATAATAGTGAA